AGAGGCTCAGCCCAGCCCACACCACAGAAAGCCGAGCGCAGTGTTCAAGGCCTCTCTCCCATCCTCCACAGTAGACCCTCCCCAGCTTACCTTCTCCCCTCGTGAGACCAGCTCTCTCCCAAGCTCAACTGTGGTCACTCTTACCCCAAAACATGAGGCCCAGATCAAATGCCACCTCCTCCAGGAAGCCTCTCTGGAGGCTTCCTCTGCCTGCCTAGCCCCTTCTACTGCTGTTTTGGCCCTTCAGCCCCCACCAATTCCTGGCCTCAATCTTTCCCACCAGAGCAGACAAATCGCTGAGAACAAGGCTTGCATGTGGCCTGACCTACAGCAGGCACGTGCTTACTTAATGTGTGTTAAGTGAAACTGTCTCCTGGGGAAAGGAAAATTCCAACAGTAGTAATAACTATAGCCACCTTTTCTTGACCATCAGCTACAAGTCAAGTAGTGAACTTGATGGCTCATCCCAAATGAGGCCCAGGTAAGGAAGTGGCTTGTCCAAGGTCACTCTGCTAGGGCAGCAGTCCCCAACCTTTTTGACAACAGGGGCCAGTTTCACGGAAGACGATTTTTCCATGGAATTGGGGTGGGGAGTGGTTTCAGAATGATTCAAGTGCGACATATTTATTGTGCACTTTATTTCTATTATTATTATATCAGTTCCACCTCAGATCATCAGGCATTAGATCCCAAAGGTTGGGGACCCCTGTGCCAGTGAGAGGCAAAATCAGATTTGAACTTCAGTTGGTCTGACTCGGAAATGCATGCTGGATGCCAGAAGTGAGAAACACAGGGCTGGCACCCTCAGCCCCACCGCCAGTCTCCCCAGGCTGGGGAACTAAGCCCTCAGCACAGACCACTTGGAGAACACAATGCCACCTACTTCCCTGCAATGCCCAGTCGGTCTGAGCCCCTGCCAGGAGTCCAGTCCATAGAGGGTGTTCCTGGCATGGTGCAAGAAGGGGTGTACCTGCCCTCGTGACGGTTGCAGACCAGTTGGGGTGACAAGGACCTGCTTCCTATGCTGGCCATAGGGCGGTGATATTGCAAAGCAGTTTTCAAGGATGCTTTGCCTAAGGGTGACCCATTGATGAAGGTGAGAGAGGTATGTGCCAGTGAGAAAAATAAGGACATGCTCAGAAACTCATGCTGGTCAGCAGAGGCCAGGTGTGAGTTGATATAAGGCTATCATAGGGTGGACAGGGAAATGAGCGCATGAGACCATGAAGGGACAGGCAGGGGGTAGACTAGATGGCTGGGGGTGATGGCAGTAGAACAAAGCTGCTGGATGGATGGTGGGGGGAGGCGCAAAAATCAGTGGGTAAATGGATAGGGGTGGGAGGAGGAACAGGCGGGTAAGTGGATGTATCGGTGGGGGTAGATAGATAATGAGCAAGGGTGTAGGCAGTGGGTTAACTGAAGATTAGTAAGTAGTTAGGTGACTGGATGGGTGTGAGTGGTAGGTTAACAGATGTAAATTGGTGGTTAAATTGGTGGTTAAACAAATGGGTAGAAGGATAGGTAGATGGATGGAGAGGAGTGTGGGTGGTGAGCAGATGAGTGGACACTCAAAAGACAGTCCTCACTGGGAATTCCCTGGTAGTCCTGTGGTTAGGACTTCGAGCTTCCACTGCAGGTGGCATGGTTTAGAACCCTGGTTGCAGAACTAAGAGTCCACATACTGCATGGCATCTCCAAAAAAAAAAAAAAAAGAAAGAAAAGACAGAAGACTGAGAAGACCAATCAAATCAGTCAATGAGCAAATGCATAAGCTGACCAAAAGCCAAGCCAGACTTGGGGATGGAAAGGATGCACCCTCTAGGAAGCGGCTGGGATGCAGGCTGAAAGATGTGGCCAACTCCCTCAGCTCAAGGCTCCCACTCCAAACCTCACTGGAGCCTGGTGGGCAGCCACTGGCATTCCTGAGTCCCCAAAGGGGAGGCAACCCTGTTAGCTGTGCCCTGCCCCCTCCACTCCAGCGCCAAAGAGGACTCCCTGCCCAGAGACCGCCTCCTTCCCATAAGCCCCATGCCTCGGCCCACCCAGCCTGCAGGGTGAACTGAGGGAGCAGCTGAGCTCTGAGATTACAGTCCAAGGGGCCTGGTTCCTCAGGACAGGGGAGGAGAGCCGGGCCTCCTGAACTCCAGGCAGCCAGTCCCACCTAGCAGCTCCCTGTCCCCAGCTGGGAGGCGTTTGTTCTGCATTCTGCACGGTGATTACAGCTCTGCCAGGGTTAACCCCTGCGCTCCTGGGCACAGTCCCTTGACAAGGGAAAGAAGGGGACCACAGGAAATTGGGAGAGGAGAAAACCATGGGAAATGGGGACTGCCCATCCCTGCATCTTTCACAAGGATGCCCAGACTCCTCCCTTTCTCCCATTTCCAGAAAGAAAAACTGAGTTGGATCCTTCAATCAGGAGTGGAGCCAGGAACAGGAATACAGCCTACATAGAAGTACTTCTATCTGGAGGGAGGCTTAGAATGGGGGGGGGAGAGCGCCTCTGGCCTCAGTTTACCTATCTGTAAAATGGGGCACAGAATTTCTAACTCACAGAGTGCCTTACAATGAGCTAGCAGAGACAAAGTGACTGGCACAAAGTAGGAAGCTTGCTGAGTCGTGTCCGACTCTTTGTGACCCCATGGACTGCAGCACGCCAGGCTTCCCTGTCTTTCACTATCTCCCAGTTTGCTCAGATTCACGTGCATTGAGTTGGTGATGCTATCTAACCATCTCATCCCCTGCTGCCCTCTTCTCCTTTTGCCTTCAGTCTTCCCCAGCATCAGGGTCTTTTCTAATGAGTCGGCTCATCACATCAGGTAGTCAAAGTATTGGAGATTCAACTTCAGCATCAGTCCTTCCAATGAATATTCAGGGTCAATTTCCTTTAGGATTGACTGGTTTGATCTCCTTGCAGTCCAAGGGACTCTTAAGAGTCTTCTCCAGCACCACAATTCAAAAGTGTCAATTTTTCAGTGTTCAACCTTCTTTACGGTCCAACTCTCACATCCATACATAACGAATGGAAAAGCCAAAGCTTTGACTATATAGACCTTTGTCGGTGAAGTGACATCTCTGCTTTTTAATACGCTGTCTAGGTTTGTCATAGCTTTTCTTCCAAGGAGCAAGTGTCTTTTAATTTCAAGGCTGCAGTCACTATAAGCAGTGATTTTGGAGCCCAAGAAAACAAAATCTGTCACTGCTTCCACTTTGTCCCTTCTATTTGTCATGAAGTGATGGGACCTGATACCATGATCTTAGTTTTTTTAATTCATTGAAGGCCTCTGACATCACACCAAACTGCTTCCTTTGCCAGATGCTCTGGGCAATCTTCTGACTAGAGTGATGTGTAATTTATTGTCTAACCAGGTAATTTTTGAGAATGAAAGGAAGTCTTGTTAATAATTATGCTGGGATATTGGGCATCATGTGGGACTCTCCTGGGCAAACCAGGACATATGGACAACTTGCCACAGCTGGAGGCTTTGGGAATGTCGTTTTGCTTCTCTGCAAAATGGACATGATGGCAGTGTTGTCCCTACAGGGATCTCATGTGGATTCAATGATGAGCAGGTGAGGGGCGACAGGGCCTGGTTGTTGTTCTGATGTTGTTTAGTTGCTAAGTCATGTCTGACTCTCAGTCCTACTGTTACCTCAGCAAGCACTGGAATTCTCTAAACCTCAGTTTCCCCATCTGTCCTACTGGGGAAATAACCTCCTCCCTTGGTGGCTAGCATGCGCATTCTGGGAGCCCAGGTGGCACTAGTGGTAAAGAATCTACCTACCAAGGCAGGGGGCTTCCCTTGTGACTCAGCTGGTAAAGAATTTGCCTGCAATGTGCGAGATCTGGGTTCGATCCCTGGGTTGGGAAGATCCCCTGGAGAAGGGAAAGGCTCCCCACTCCAGTATTATGGCCTGGAGAATTCCATGGACTGTATAGTCCATGGGGTCGAAAAGAGTTGGACACGACCGAGCGACTTGCAGTTTCACTTCACTTTCACCGAGGCAGGAGGCATAAGAGACTCCATCCCTGGGTTGGGAAGATCCCCTGGAGAAGGGCATAGCAACCATTCCCGTATTCTTGCCTGGAGAATCCCATGGACAGAGGAGCCTGGTGGACTACTGTCATGGGGTTGCAAAGAGTCAGACACACTGAAGCGACTGAGCACGCACATGAAGGAGGTGCAGCCAAAAAACCTCTTTCCGTGTGTGTACATACGGCCCCTCCTCCTCCAGCCACACCTGCCTCCTGCGTGCGGATCCTTAGTTCTAAGCCTTTGCTTGTTCTGTCTCTTGCCGGGTGTGTGTGCATTCCCACTGCCCTTCCTTTACAGCTTAACTCAGGAATCACCTCTTCCAGGACACCTTGCTGAGCCCCACCCCTCTCCTGCAGACTCTGTTATGGGGCTGTGTGCAAGGACAGCCCCCAGATCTTCCTGCTCAGGAAGCTCACAGTCCAAGAGGAATATCGTTCCTGTTGTTTAGTCTCTAAGTTGTGTCCAACGTTGAAACAGCATAAGCCGGGGATCAGAGGTCCATCTCCCCTCCTTGAGGACAGCACAGAGTCCTGTGCGTGGCTGATTCCCTGACCCTCATGGGTGGAGTTGGGGGTGCTCAATGAAGCTTCGGGAACCCATCCATCCGAGATGTGACCTCATGTAATTAATTGTTCAGCAAGTCTGCTAGGTGCTGACACAGCAGAGACCACTTAGCCACATAACAGCTTATGCCTGCTGTTATTATCCCATTTTACAGATGGAAAAACCAAGCAGTGACCAGCAAATGATAAGAAACCAGGCTGTTGGGTTCCAGGGTCCACAGCCTTGACCACAACACCACACCACTCTACCAGTGGCCTGGCCCCAGTGTGGCTCATGTCTGTGTTCTGGTAACCGCGGGGTGGGGGTGGGGGAGCTGTACTGGAGCAAAAAGGAAAGGGGGGTTAGGAGAAAGGGAGTGGGTATCCCAGCTTGTAGAACTTAAGGTTTAAGCAGGAGTCGGGCATGCAGGGCCTCGGAGATCTGGCTTCCAGGTTCCCCAGACTCCCACAAGGAGCGGCTGGAGAGCCCAGCAAGCGAAGTTGTCAGGTCAGGCACCCCAAGGCCCTGCGAGGAGACGGTGGAAGAGGGTTTGGGAGCTGGGGACCCGAGTCACCTCCCCGGGCAACCCGGACGTTCCCGGGTCCCCCTGCCCAGGGCAGCCTACAAGAGCCTGACCTGGCGCCCCCTCCAGCTTTCGCAGTCGCCGCTCGGGGCGGCCCGATCGGTGCCCGGGACAGGGGGCCCCGCCCCGCCCGCGGCCGGGAGGAGAGAGGCGGGAGGAGGGAGCGCGCCCACACCCCGCCCCCGCCCCCGGAGCCAGCCCGCGGAGCCCGCGGCCAGGGCGGCGCAGACCGGCCCAGCCACTCTCCAGGGCTGCGCGCGGGGACGCGCTGCCGCCGCCGCCGCGTCCGCCCTTCACCCCCGGCTCTCGGGGCGCGCGGAGAGAAGGTAACCGCGAGCTGGCCCGCTGGTCGTCGAACCCAGGGTGAGCGTGGATCCGGGCAGGGGGATCGCGGCGCCGAAACGTCTTGGCAACCCCTAGGTTCTTGGGACCGGGGCGGGGGAGGGGACCAGCCTGCCAAAGTCGCCCCGGTGCCAAGGGACAGGCCGGGAGCGCCGGCCGCGGGAACGGCGCGGGGACGCTCCAAGTTTTCGGTGGTTTCGCCCTGGTCCCGGCGAGTAGAGGGCGGCAGAGAATTGGAAGGTAAAGCGGGTTGCGGGAGGAGGGGGCGAGCCGAGGGCAGTCTACGCTCCTTCCTGCCCTGGGAAAGGAAGGGAAGGAACGGGGAGGGGGCCATGTGTCGGAATGTCGGGCCCCTTGGCGAGGCCGGCGGGGAGAGCGGGAAGTGGGGGGGACCGCTGGGGAGATGGTCCAGGCACCCTGCCCCCTCCCCAACCGCCGCATTCCTGGCCGGAGCCGCGGGTGAGGTCATCCCGTCCGGTTCCCCTCGGGCCAAGGCAGCCGGCTGCCCCTTCCCCGCGGAACGACGACCCTCCAGCATTCTAACCCCGTGCCTCCCAGAGGGAATGTTTTCTGGCCAAAATCTTTCCGGGACTTCCCATCCCTACCGCCCTCGAGACTGTTCTGTTCTCGCCAAGCCATCTGAGACTCACGAAGTTTGAAGCGCATTTTCTGGATCGGGAAACTGAGGCTCAGAGTGGCGAAAGGGCTGGCCCGCGAAGGCCACAGCTGCGCAAAACGCGGCGCAGGGTCTGGAACCGAGGATTTGGGGAGACCCTGCCCTTAGGCCAGTCAGCCTCGGCGTCAAAGGCTGATTCGGCTCTAACTTGGGGTCCATGGTGCTCCCTCCTACTGTCCCCCTTGACGGCCTGAGAACAGGGTCTCCGCTGCCACTGTGGACAACGTGCTATCCTTTTTCTCGCCTCAGTTTCTGCCTCTTGAAGCGGCTGGACTTTGAGGAGCATGAAAAGGCAGCCCCCAGGGAGTTAACCTCTTATTCGGGGAGGCTAGAACAGCCCTAACGGAGACAGGGTCCCTCTGTCCAGCGGTAAGGATGGTGTTACTACCCAGCTGGACACTTGCCGGAGGGGTGCTGTGAGCAGGGAGTGGCTTCCAGGATGAGAGGTGGTGCCCCCTAGGGGCCTGTTTTGGGTGACTCCCAGGTGAGCCCTAGGGTGTCGCCACCCCCACCCCCGCCTCACCCTTGCCTCTGCCCCCTCCCCCAAGGCCATCAGACAGCCCTTGGCCTCCTCCAACCGCAGGCACTTCCACAGCGGCCCCTGTCGGCCTCTCCTAACCGCGAGGTCCCTACTTCCGGCCCCAAACCTTGTCCTTGTGGTCACCACTGCTATTGAGTAAACTCCTACCCAAGTACCCAGGCCTGACTATCTGTTGGCTAAACTGAATCTGCAGGGCTGAGTCTCCTGCCTCCCTGGACTGCCCTTCTGTGCTTAGCAGCTGGGCATCTGCTCGGCACTCCTGGAGCCTTCACCCACTCTCCTGGCATTTACTGTTGAGGTTGGTAGACTCCTGACTTCCCCAGTGGCTCAGCAGGTAAAGAACGCACCTGTAATGCAGGAGACCCAGGAGATGCAGGTTTGATCCCTAAATTGAGAAGAGCCCCTGGAGGAGGAAATGACAACTTACTCCATTTTTCTTCCCTGGAAAATCCCATGGACCGAGGAGTCTGGTGGGCTGCAGTCCATGGGGCCACAAAGAGTCAGACAAGACTGAGCAACTAACAACAGTAGAATCCTGGGGAGGTTCCTGGCCACGCCTCTCTTTTTGCTCTCCAACCTGGGGCAAGTCAGTTTCCTTTCCATGTCTCATTTTTTCCGTCTGTAAAATGGGTGTTTGTGAGCATTAGCAGGTAGTATTCCTGGCTTAGTGAGCAAAGAGAGGCCACGTACCTGGACAGCCAGAGCCCTGCTTGCTCTGGGGCCAGGTGGGGCACACCTAACCACCAGTGATACCCGATGATCAGCTTCAAGAGCCAAATAGGCTCCATCGAGGTTGGAGCCTCTCCTGTCTCTCCAGAATGAGAGACATTATTAGTGTAAGAATGTTGGCTTTGAACCCAGCCCTGCTTCAGAATCCAAGGGTTTAATTACAGTGCCTTCCACTCTTAAAACTCTCCTGGGAGAGGACCAGCCTTGTTTTGCACGTGGGAGAAAGATCCCCAGTAGCAGTGCCCTGTCCTTGGCTGCAAAGTGCCACGGATGTCCCTACAGCAGTGGGCAGGGTGGAGAGCTTCTGGAGGTGCCCAGAGGAATTTGAGACATGTATCACAAGACTCAGGCAGAAGCTGGTGTCTCAAGTCAAAGTGGCCACAGGGGTGGGGTGGGGACCAGGACCCCTTTTGCTGAGAAAGGAGGGGCTGGGGAGAAGTAGATGTGGCCACATGATGGACATAGTGACCTTTCCTCATGACATTTCATAATGACACCCCCCCCCCCCAGTTCCCTCCCCTCTGTCCCCAGATTCAGTCCTCAGCAGAGCAAGGAAATGGCCCATGCGAGGTACCTGCCATGTGACCCTTGCCAAGTTCCTTCTCTCCAAGCCTTGGCTCGTCCTGTAAAATGGGCTAACCCTCCAGCTTCGGGGCTATTAGAGAATCAGATGACATCATGCAGTGGCTGGCCAACTGCAGAGCGCTTCACCACTTCAGCAAACATTCCACGAGGACGTCTTGGTGCCGGGGGTGCCAGGGAAAGGAATGATTCAGATACCCCCCACCCCTGGTGCGGGGGGGAGGAGTCAGGGTTGGGGGAGGATCCTATGGTGGGAAGGAAAGAGAATGCAGTCAGAAAACAAAGCAAGCTTTGTCTTCTTGCCTCCTTTGTTTATATCTTGTTATTTAACCTATTTTGAATTTCAAATAACATTTGAAGGGCAGTATTGAGATTTTTATGCTTGGAGGTGGCTGCAATTTTTTTTTTTTTTAAAGTTGATGCTTAGATCTAGGTGTTAAGAATCATTATCAACTTTTATCAGCTCGGGTCCCAGGTCTGGGGAGGTAAATGACTTGCCCAAGGACACACTGTGAGGCCACTAAATCCTCTACCTGCCCTCACTCAGATGGTGGCAAGGTATGAAGGTATGAAGGTATCACAGAGAACTACTGGTCCTGATTGGGCACTTGGCCGTGTGCAGAGCCCAAGCTGAGCACTGGAGGGAGGGAGGCAGGAAAATCCAGGCCCCACCCTTAGAGTGTGTTGTGATCTGGAGAGACAAGACAGGGCTCCACGGGCCACTAAAAGCCAAGTGAGTCAGAGGCTGTGAAATGACATCTCTACTCGTTCTCTTGACATGACCTTGAAGAAGCTTGGCCTCTCCGGGCCACAGGAAAATCAAATATGGGACCATAGGTTCATAGGTGTCCTCCACTGTATACTCCTGGGGTAGTAGAAGGGGTGGTGTCAAACCAAGGGAAGCTTAGAGAAGATTGGGATTCGGGGAGGAGGATCGGGGAGAGATCCGGACAGCAGGGAGTAGGCAAAGAACAGCTTTTGGCTCCAGCTGAGCTTTTTCCAAAACTTGTTCCCTGGTAACAAGGCCTTGATATCAATTTGAAAACAATATAATGTTCTTCCTGCGGGCCTTCTCAGAGCCTTGAATGTGCTCAGACATGTAATAAGCAGCTGGAAAAACCACTTTTGACCACAGGATCCTTTTTCCAGGAAGCATTCAGAAAGCGAAGGGTTCTGCTGGTTACACAGCAGTTCATAAAGCCTTTGCCTGTCACCTCCTAGCCTCTCTGAGGGGAAGACAGTTTAACCCACCAAGAAGGGAGGTGATTTAACTCCACCCGCCAGCAGGAGGCAGTGTAGCTCGGGGCTCAAGGGCTCTGGGGTTGAAGGCTCTGCTTCACCATTGCCTACTGTGTAGCCTCAGGCAAATCCCTTCATTTCTTTGGGCTTCAGTGTCTCTTCTGAAGGCTATAGTGCCTCCCTCAAGGTTTAATGAGTGATGAATATAAGCCATTGGCACTCAGTAGGTGCTTCATCAATGGGGACCATATAATGACAATTCATAGGTTTTAACCAGTATACAGTTGAAGAAGCGTACAGCTCCATGAATTTTTTGTGCCCCCTCCCAGTCTATATTTGTTCAAAGGCAATCACAATTCTGACTTCTATCACTGTTGTTTTGTTTTGTTGTTATTAGTTGCTAAGTCCTGTCCGACCCCATGGACTGTAGCCTGCCAGGCTCTTCTGTCCATGGGATTTTGTTTCACCTGCTCTTAAATTTCCTGGATGTGGAATCATGCCATGTGCCCTTCTCTGTGGGTCTGTTCAGCATTTTCTCCATGGTCCTCATATGTATTCTCTTTAGCTGTTATTATTTGGACCAAGATGCCCCCAGGCCCTCCACTACCTTCTTTCTCTTAGGTCTCCACTCCTGGGCAGGAGAAGGACTGTCCACATCTGAGGCACATTTGGTGCCATCTACGTCCTTGGCCAGAACATCTGCAGCTCCTTCCACGGGACTGGGACCCAGGCCTCGGGGCAGACAAGCCATGGACCCCCCACAGCCTCAGCATGTGAGGGCAGCACCTTAGCACAGAGGGCCAGCCTCCGTCCACCCCCTCCCACCAAGAAGGAGGGAGCTGAGAAGTGGACCCTTCACCGAGCCCAGCGCCCTCCCCAGGCCCCGGTGGGCATGGACCAGCAGCTGTGAACAGCCAGAGCCGATGCCGGGCCCCCAGGGGGCCGGAGGAGCCCCGGCCATGAACCTGGGCAAGCTCTCACCCGTGGGCTGGGTGTCCAACTCGCAGGGGAAGAAGCGGCTGACCGCAGACATGATCAGCCCCCCACTCGGGGATTTCCGCCACACCATGCATGTGGGCCGCGGCGGGGACGTCTTCGGTGACACCTCCTTCCTCAGCAACCATGGTGGCGGCTCAGGGAGCACCCACCGCTCACCCCGGGGCTTCCTGGCCAAGAAGCTGCAGCTGGTGCGGAGGGTGGGGGCCCCACCCCGGAGGATGGCTTCTCCGCCCGCACCCTCACCTGCTCCACCGGCCATCTCCCCCATCATCAAGAATGCCATCTCCCTGCCTCAGCTCAACCAGGCGGCCTATGACAGCCTCGTGGTGGGCAAGCTCAGCTTTGACCGCAGCCCTGGCAGCTCCACGGACGGCCACTCTGCTTACGGTGAGGGCCTGGGCTGTCTGCTCATTTTTCAGGGGCTGAGGTGCAGCGGGTTTGATGGTTCAGCCAACCCTCCAAGTGAGCTCTTTTCCCCGCAGTAGTTTGGTCTCCATGCAAGTCAGACCCAAACCCCAAATCTTGGATGGCGAGGGCGGGTCACAGGGCGGGAACCAGTTCACTCCCCAAAACACTGAGGTTGAGAGGTGAGGAGGTGGGGTTTGAGTTCTGCCTGCCCCTAAGCTGCCTCCCCTTCTCTGGGCCCTCGGCTAAGCCAGCCTACCACCCTCCTACCCCTCTCCCTTGCCTGCTTCAGTGGAAGCAGCTCCCTTGTGTCACAACAGTACAGTGGAGAGGTGGAGAGCCAGGGCCCTGGATTCAAATCCTGGTTCTGCCTGATTCTCAGTGAGCAAACTGACCTCTGTGAAGTCAAGTCCTGGCCTATATAATGGGCCCTTAGGGTCACTGCTAAGATTGAGTGAAATGACACATATTCGATTGTGGCCTAGAACCTCGCACACAGTAGGTGCTCAGGACACGGGAGCTAATGCTCTGTTGATATTTGAACAGAGGTTCCTATAACTTGACAAATTTGGAAAACCACTCACATGGACAGAAGCCAGAGGCCCTTCCTGCCAGCGTGGGGAGGGGTGGCTGTCACCGGGGCTCCTCATGGACAGCTCACTTGAGAACTGGGGCCCCCGATGCCACCTGGCGACCACTCCCTGCCCTGCAGCTTTGCCCATCCCCCTCTGGTGCTCCCTGTCCAGGGGTGATGCTCAGAATCCCACTGAGGGCTGGTCCGCGGTCCCACCGCAGTCCTGGAGCCAGGGTCAGGGACAGAGGGCGTTTAGAGGGCGTTTGCCTGTCCTTTGGGTCTTGATTTCTATGTCGTCAAACTGGCTGCTGGTTCTATCCTGTGCCCACAAACCGGTGCATGCGCTGTGGGTTCATGGCAGGGGACCAGGAGTCATTCAAGTTCAGTGTTGGGCCTGGGAGTCAGGAGGTTTGAGCTCCAGGCTCAGCTCCAGCCCTTCAGACTTTGTGGCCCTGGGCGAGCCTTTCCCCTCGTCCCAAACTGAGCCTCACTTTCTTTATCTGCGAAATGGGATGAGGATTATGTCAATTTCCAGGGTTGACAGGAAGATCACACAAGAGACTATGGGGTTCACTGTATTGGAAAGATGGAGGAAGCTGCAGTCAGATCGGGGGGTGGCTTGCTAAAGGCCACATAGCAAGCAGGTGTTGGTCCTGGCTCTGCCTTCCGCAATTCCTGGTTAGGGCCCCCAGCTCTGACCCTGGTCCCTATTTCTCTTCTAGGAGTGGACTCTGGGTTCTGCACCATCTCCCGCCTGCCTCGCCCAGAAAAGCCTCGTGACCGAGACCGTGATAGCTCCTTCCCCACTGAGCCTGAGCTTCGACGCTCTGACTCCCTCCTGTCCTTCCGCCTGGACCTCGACCTTGGGCCCTCCCTCCTCACTGAGCTCCTGGGGGCCATGAGCCTCTCAGAAGGCTCTGCAGCGGAGACCCCAGCCCCGGCTCCTGCTGCAAGTCCCCCAGCCTCTGTTGCAAACCCCCCGGCCCCTGCCTCAAGCCCCTCACCTCGTGGACGCTGCCCCAATGGGGTAACCACCAGGTTGGGCCCAGTGGCCGAGGTGAGGGCCAGCGCGGTGGGAGAGGGCCCCCGTGCGCCTGCTGGTGAGGGCCCCGGCAGGCACTGGGGAGCTGTCTCGGGTGGCAGCCAAAGCCGCCGCCACTACACTGACGTGGATGCTCGGGGCGAGGGGGTGGGGGCATTGTCCCAGGTTCGGGCCTCCTGGGGGAGCCTGGACGAAGAGTGGGGGGCATCCCAGGCAGGCAGCAGGACCCCCGTGCCCAGCACAGTGCAGGCCAACACCTTCGAGTTTGCTGATGCTGAGGAGGACGACGAGGTCAAGGTGTGATCGGCTGGGCACGGGCTGAGAACCCTGGCCAGCCTCCGGGCACCGCCAGCGAGGAGCCCAGGTGCAGCCCCAGGCCCTGGCGGCTGGGTCTTGCCAATGACAGACCCCTCCACACCTCTGCTGGACAGACATGGGAGGGAGGCCAGGGGAGACCAGGCTTGTTCTGAGACCTGGGTGTTCCCCTGGGCTCTGCTCAACCACTCCGCCTCCCTCCACTGCCACACCGGACCTCCGGGCCCAGTAGCCATTCCCTGGGCCCACCTTCCGCCCCAGGCCCCCCACCCGCTGGAAGGCCCAGCCTCACAGTGCAGCCTTTGTGTTGAGAAAGCTGCCCTTGCTGGGTGGGGGTGGGGAGCCTGCCACATAGAGCCTTTGTCTTCTCTCCCAAAGGGACCCTTGGCCCCAGCTCATCCTGGAGTTGCCCCCAGCAGGGTCCCTCCTGCCTGAGAGCCCCCAAGGCTGCCTCCGCAAGATTCCCACCACCAACCCCATGTCCCAAAAGCCTCAGAAAAGTCAGGTGTGACCTCACTGGGAGGGGGGAGGGTCCCACCTTCCCGTGCACCCCAGACCTGCCTCTGGGTCCTGATTAAAAAGGCTTTTTTTGATTAAAGGTGTCCCGCGAGATGCTTGAGGACCTGGGATGACAGTGTCTGTGCCACCTGCTCGAGTACCTTTAGCACTGGGTTTGGAAAGCCAAGGACTCCCCCCCACCCCCGCCCCACCCAACCAGGGCCCCCAATGAGGGGAGGGACCGAGGCAGGGGGTAATGAGTAACCAGACTGGAATGAATAGCCCTGCGATAAGAAGCCCAGGTGGGAGCCCTTATCTGCAGTTCCGGGAACAGCCCCTGGCCCAGGTGCCTGGAACTGTAATCCCACAGAGCAACTTGGCACTTATCCTGGTGACAAAAGGGGATCAGCAGGCAGGACCAGTGGCTTAGAGGTGTTTGGAGCTCATCCCCCACTGGGCAGCCTCAGTTTCTTCGTCCATATCAAGGGGACGCTGGGAGCATTAAGATAGTGGAAAACACCACAGTTGGAAAGACTATAAAGGTAGATTCTTTTGTTGGGGGATGAGGGCGGAGGATTAGGAAGAGCAGATGGGTCGCAAGGGTCACTGATTCCACAAGACGAGACAGCTCTGGGTCAGGAATCTGCTTGCAGGGGTGGTGTCTTGCATCCTGGTGAGGTGCTGCCCTCACTCTAGCTTGAAGGAGGAGACGATGAAGTTCTGCACACCCAGGTAGCTCAGGTGGCTGTGGCCCAGCCTGTTGGGAAAGGTCAACTGGTGCCCATCTGGCAGCTTCACCTTGAATTCATTGTTCTCAAAGGTCACGATGAGCTGCGGTGGGAGGGAGGGCGTCAGGGAGGCAGGAGGCACCCTGGAAATGGGCTGGTGGCTCAAACAGTCCCAGCACATGTCTAGGTCAGGGTGCCCCCACCAGCTGTGCTCCCCTCTTGAGATCTGTTTTCAGGCCCCTTTTCCCTTTGACCTCACCTTGACTTCTGACCCTGGGCTGAAGCACATGTGATTGTCCCGTTGCTCCGCCCCCCAGCTGTTGCCATCGCGTGAGTTGCAGACGATGGTGGATTCACCAAAGCGTGGGTTGAAATGCAGGTTCAGTTTATCTGTCCCCTGGCCCAAATTAATCACAAAGCTGCCAGAGAAGAAATAAGAATAAGGGGCCAGCCCTGGGTATAAAAGCTTCGGTGGCGGCGTCTTGACCATAAAGTTGGTAGAATAACCAAAGGTGGTGTTAATTGAGTTTTGTGCCTTAAAACAAGGGAGGTAACAATTTGATCGGACCTGGCACTGGAGTATCACATTCCATTTAGAACACAGACCAAGGCTCCTGACAAGGAGTTAACTAAGAGTGACATTTCAGGAGATGAAGGTGGCTATCCTTGGAAAAAAACTGCTGTTCTTAACTATTTCTGAAGACCCATTAAGTTTGGCCGAAAATAGTTGTATGCCTGAGGTGGTGAGCTCCCTGTCATTAGAGGTATGCAATTAGGAGCTGTGTGATCTTTTAGAAAGATCACGACAGGGGCCTTGGTCAGACCTTCATGGTCCCTGAGAGTGGGACTTTCTGAGTCATGGGGTGTCTCCATTGGGAGGACTCAGGCCAGAGGTATCCCACATTTCTGCAACCTTGAGGGACCCAAGTAGGAGAAAGAGGTGATTTTTATCTTGGCTCCTACCTGATGCTTCTGCCTGCCCCTCCCCAATCAAAACCTGATTGAGATCAGTTTCAAGAAATGCTGACCCTTGTCCTGCACACAGGACAGCCTAACGCTGACCTGTAACCCCTGAGGTGAGAAAGGTCTCCTATTCTGATGGAGAGGATGCACACCAGACCACTAGGCGCCCCCTGGTGGGTGCCCCTGGTTTGGTGGTGGTTTTGTAATCGCTAAGTCTGACTTTTGCGACACCATGGTCTGTAGCCGGCTAGGCTCCCTGGTCAAGAATACTGGAGTGGGTTGCCATTTCCTTCTTCAAGGGATCTTCCTGACCCAGGGATTGAACCCTGGTCTCCTGCATCGCAGGTAGATTCTTTTTTTTTTTTTTTTTTTTGCAGGTGGATTCTTTACCAACTGAGCTATCCCTGGTTTAATATATGTGAAAGGCCAGTCCCTGGTCCTTCAGCAGTATCAAGAGAGTAGTGTCCCCGGGGGGTTGGGGCCTTCAGTAGAGGCATCTGACTCACAGAGGACTGGGCAACGCTTCAGGGATTTCTCACTTGCTGCTTCCGTGTCTGTTGGGGCCAAGGAATTGAGCACATGGCGTCCTATGTGACTTCTGCAGGTCCCCAAATCTGGCCTCAGATGTGAAAGCAGCGCAAATGGGGCCAGCAAGGGTGAGGGAGGGGTGTGAGAGGAGCGAGAATGTACAAGAGGCCCCCTGGCCAGAGGTCACTCTCATTGTCCCAACATTTCACAAGGCTGCCTTGCCTGCCCCCACCTTCCCAGCCCATGCCAGGTCTGTGGCCGGCCCCCTCTCCCCGTCCTACCCCACCTGCCCTCCCACTAGCTCACCCATTAGCACTGTCAGCGATCTTGCCCTTGATCTTCAGGCTTGCCCCCATCTTCATGTCCATGTTCACAATCTCAAATTTCCCCTGCACCAACAGAGAAACATCCCACACAAATCAATCACTTGTGTGCCACACGTGTGCCCCATGCTCTTCTGCTGGTAAAGCCCACTCACCAGCATCCTCCCATCCCAACCTGGCCCCAGGTCCCCCTTTCCCTGTCCCCACATGAGGCCATGGAGCCAGGAAGCAAAAAAGAGAGCTCAGATCAAAGATTTCTGGAGCCCCCTCTTGCTGTTTTGCTTCACTCTCATCCACCCCAGCCTGAAGAATAGCTGGATCTGGAGACATAGGGCTCGGGGGAGGGAACCTCAGTTTGCCCATCTATAAAATGGGTAGAGTAACCCCTGCCAGCCTCACTCTTCCCAAATGTGTTCAAGTGATGAGGCACAATGCCCTCAGCAAAATCCCATGAACAGGGTACGTTTATTTCTTGCACAAACTTGGGAGTCATTTTACTGACAGAAAATGACTGTATCAGGACTTCCCTAGTGGTCAAGTGGCTAAGACTCCACATTCCCAATGCAGGGGGCCCAGGTTCTATCCCTGGTCAGGGAACTAGTCCCACATGCTGCAAAGAGTTCAAAAGCCCCAGCTAAAAGATCCCATGTGCTGAAACTAAGATCCCATGTGCCGCCATTAAGACGCATTGTAGACAAATCTTTTTTTAATTTTTTTAAAAAAGAAAATGACTGTATGACAGGCAAGTCTAGGCCCATCCAAAACAGAGAATCTATAAAATTCCATCAGTCACATGTCTGAACATGTCCATCAAAGTCCCTCTCCAAACCCCACACTCCTCATCTGTAAAACTGGCTGATTTGATTTATTCATTCAAACCCAGTTGCCAAGCACCCTTGTGACAGACACTATCGGAGGCCCTGAGGTTAACAGCACCTTCTTTACCCTGGTTCAGAGGACGAGAGCTCCCGTTTGTGAAGCCCCTCAAATAGGACTTGGCACAGACTAAAAGCAAATCGAGGGGCTGTGGTCATTAGGCTTACTTATCGCTACTATGGTATCCTTCTGCTTCCTATTTTCCCATAGGACCTGGGCAGCGCCTGTATTTCTATATTCTGGTTAGAAGGGAGGCTCTCGAAGCTGGGTTTTCAAACCTCATGATCCAACCCTGAGAAAATGTCTAGTTATCCATGATTGGAGGGTGTGAGGCTGGGCCAGACAGGATTTGGCAGCCACAAAAGACTTAGAACACTTACTGGGGAAATACGTTTATATTATAGGATTTCTGTTCACTGATATTTTTCTTTTTCTTTCTGGAGGGAGCTCACTTGGGAAGCCTTGAAGCAACTTGTGGGACTGGAGTGCTTTGCTGAAAGTCAAGGGCAGTGTCTGTGGAGGGTAGATTAGGACTCCCCTGCTGGCAGCTGCCTCCTTTCCGCCAAGAGGGAAAACAGTCTTCGGGTTCCTACACGGGTGTCGAGTTGCCCAGTTTTCTTGGTGGTGGTGGTTTAGTCGCTAAGTCGTGTCTGACTCTTGTGACCCCATGGACTGTATAGCCTGCCATGCTCCTCTGTCCATGGGATTCTCCAGGCAGGAATACTGGAGTGGGTGGCCATTTCCTTCTCCAGGGGATCCTCCTGACCCAGGGATCAAACCCGGGTCTCTTGCCTCTCCTGCATTACAGGTGGATTCTTTACTGACTGAGCCACCAGAGAAGGCCTCCCCTGGAGTCAGTACATTTTAAAAGGAGGCCTGGGGGCATCCCTGGTCGTCCAGTGGTTAAGACTCTGTGCTTCCCTGCAGGGGCACAGTGTCCATCCCTGGTCAGGGAACTAAGATCCTGCCTGCCACAGGCCATGGCCAAAACTAAAATAAATAAAAGGATGGCCTGAAAGAGGCCTTGCCAAGCCCAGGAGGGTGGAGCATCACGGCTCATCGGACCCTACGATGCTTCAGAGCAGGGTTTTTCAGGTTCGGCGCCCTGAACTTTCCGACTGGATTGTTCTTTATTGGGGGGTTGTCTTGTGTGTGTAGGAGGTGGAGCCGCAGGCTGGGTCTCTAACCACCAGGTGCCAGGAGCACCCTCCCCCAAAGTGGTGACAACCAAAAGTGTCTCCAGATGTCCTCTGCGTGTTAGTCACTCACTCCTGTCTGACTCTTTGCAATCCCATGGACTGTAGCCCACTTGGCTCCTCTGTCCATGGGGTTCTCCAGCCAAGAATACTGGAGTGGGCTGCCATTTCCTCCTCCAGGGGATCTCAACCCAGGGATCAAACCCAGGTCTACCTGCATGACAGGCAGATTCTTTACCGTCTGACCCACCAGGGAACCCCAGATGTCCCCGGGGTAAGAGGAATTTCACTGCCTTTGAGAAGGTGGCACTCAGAGGCCTAACCCCTCAGATGGATGCTTAATGTAACACGTGGATCACCAGCCAAACTGGGTTCAAATCCTCCTTCAGCCTCTCCCAGAAGGACAGACAGCAGTTCCCCTAGGAGAGGTTGTTCCGTCCCTCCCAGAGGAGCGTGGGTGTCCTGCCAAGCAGCCCTTTGCGGTGTGCGCCCTGCAGCACGCAGAGTCCCCGCCAGACGTCACGAGGAGTCTCCGGTCTCCCTGGGATGGTCAGGGTGAGATTGGGGTGGGGAGAAGCACCCTCGCCACCCCACCCCCCATAGCTCCTGGAGGCTGCCTGGCTCAAACAGAAGAATCCGAGCCCCTAGGGCTACTGCAGGCCAGGTTTGGCGGTCCATCTGGGCAAACAGGGATGCTCGTGGGAGGGGGTGGGCCTAGTAACCTGTCCCCCCTCCATAAAGTCTGGAGCACAAAGAGAGACGGGGAGGCAAAGCTGGGGTGGAGGCAGGTGTCAGTGGTCAGGTGACTAACCGAGTTAGCAGGGGCCAACTGTGCCCCTTTCTGGACCTCGCTTCCCCCATTTTTTCTTTTTTTAAAAATATTTTGGCCTCACCCCGTGGCATGTAGGATCTTAGTTCCCTGACCAGGGTTTGAACCTGTGCCCCCTGCATTGGCAGCGCAGAGTCTTAATCCCTGGTCCACCAGGGAAGGTCTCTGAAGAAGGAGGAAAGAAAGGGGAGGGGTGAGGAGAGCAGGGGAAGGAGAATGTGGGGAAAGTAGTTGGGCACAAAGGCCCTCCCTGAGAGGCAGAGGGTGGGGAAGGCACCATGTCATCCACACACCTGGACCCTCTAGTCACATCCACGCCTACATCCCACCTGTGCTGACTCTCCCAGTAAAGTATGCCCACCTGGAGCCTGTGAATGAGACCTATTTAGAAATAGGACCAAATTGAGATGAGGTCATAGTGGTTCAGGGTGGGCCCCAAACCCCATATGACTGACATCCTTAGAAGAAGAGGAAATTTGGACCCAGAAACACAGACACGCAGAGAAGCTGTGTGAAGAGAGAGGCAGGGGTTGGAGGGAGACAGCTGCAAGCCCAAGAATACCACAGATTGCCAGCAATGAATAGAAGCTGGAAAGAACACGAAAGAACCCTCCCCTAGAGCGTTCAGAGAGGGCAAGTTCCCACCAACACCTGGATTTCAGACCTCAAGCCTCCAAAACTGAGAGAATAAATTTGTTACGGCAGCCCCAGGAAAGCAACACACCAGCCTCAGAAGATGCCATCTGTGACCCAGTTCTCCAAATACAGGAGACTGAGGCTCAGAGAAGAGCAGCGATTTCTCCAAGACCACATAGCAGGCTACCGCAGAGCAGAGTTTGGAATCAGAGAATCGGAGAGAGACCTTGAAGAAGATCCACTTGACCCCCCTGCAATTTACAGATTTTGATCTGGGGAAAGTTAACCTTCCAGTCTCAACTTCATCTTTTAAAGCTCAGTAGGTGTTAGTAGTTATCATTGTTGCCGCGATTAATGTTATTGATAAGAGGGAATTCCCTGGCTGTCCAGAGGTTAGGACTCCTGTGCTTCCACTGCAGTGAGCCCAGGTTTGGTCCCTGGTTGGGGAAATAAGATCCCCAACTGAGAGAGAAGGCAAAAAATAGATAAATAAATTACTAATGAGAAACCCAGGCTGGAGGGGGAAAGAAACAGACTCAGAATGGTGGTGGAGGGAACAGAGAACCTCTATGCTAAAGGACAGTGGAGGTGATCTGTCCAACTTCCTCCCTACGCAGATAAGGAAACCGAGGCTGGAGGGGCAGTGATGCTTTTTCTCCAGCATCCACCCCACCCCCACTCAGGTAAAGATTCGGAGTGACGGAGGAGGGCAGTGGGGAGCCGGTGTTCTCACCGACATGGTAGCAGCTCCGGACAGCAGCTCTGGGTAGCTCCTGGAGGTCTGGGCTCAGGGTCTCACCTTGCAGTCCAGCTTATATCCTAGAATATTACACATTAACTCCCCTTAGGCCATAAATGAGGACTTTGGTCCTTCCTGCCAGGATGTTTCTCTACCGGCATCTCCTGGTACCCAGAACAAACAGGGAGAAGGCTCATCACCCCAGCCCAGCCTGCCCAGCCCAGAGCATCCTCCTGGCCTCTCTCCAGCTCAGCCTCCCTCCTCCTTCCTGAGCCCTAGCGGATGTGGAAGCCCGGAAGCAGCGCTGGACTGGGCGCCAGGAGCTGGCACAAACCGTGTGAGCGTAGCAGGCCACCCAACAACCCTGAGCCCCACTTTCTCATCCTCAAACAGAGAGGCTTGCTTTGTAAAAACCTCTATGCTTCTATGATGTCCAGATTCATTTTGAGAATCTTGTTTTCTCTCCTCACTCCATGCTTTTTCTGATTGTACACGTAAGGTTTTTGGGGGGAGGTTAAAATTTTTTTTTTTGTACATGGGAGTTTTAAAAGCAATCCATGGTGGATTTAAAGAAAACATCTAGAAACATCTACAACAAACTAAGTAAAGAAGGAAGTGGGAGGGCTGGGGGTGTGTGCAGCGGGTAATGGAATTTCAGTGCTTTGCTCTTTACTTCTACTACTTATATAATTGACATTGTTACCTTATGCAGTGGGAGCTATTAAATGAAAAGAAAAACAGGGGCTTCCTTGGTGGCTCAGTGGTAAAGAATCCACCTGCCAAAGCAGGA